TTCCGATGCCGTCAAAAAAACAGGGTCGAAAAAAAACTGTGCCAAGCCTATTTCGGTCCACCCGCAAACGGCCTTTTAACCTCTCTGAATTTTTGCTTTCTTGAATTCGTGAGAGAGGCCGGAAGCTGAACTTGCTCCACTGTTCCGAAAATTCTTTCGGTGTCCTGTAGACGGCACACGTAAAGACGGGCTCCTACGAGAAAAGCATGAGTCGATAGAGAAACTCCCGGGCATTACGGTAATGGGCCTGCGAAATTCACGTGGGTAGCAGCGTCTACTACTTAAGGAACATTGAATTATGGCTGGGTACAAAGTTTTTGGGTGCAAGGCACGATTTCGACAGGCGTCTCGTTTAGTATTTTGTGCGTTTTATGAATTTTTAAAGTGAATACGAGACCGTATATTTGTAATATTTATTTTTCAAGTTTTTCGCACTTTAGAAAAAAGTCGCGGTAGGCATATTCCATACCCCAGAATATTATGTAAGCCTTTTTCAAAAATTCAGCAAATTGTCATTATTGTCATTATCGGCAGTACCGTAATCGGTAGGGTTGTTTTATTTATTGCGCGACACCGCATCACAAAATGCAACTATCTGCGCTTAGCTTTCTGGTTTTTTAAGTTGCTTAAATTTTTAGGCCTATTTCTTCTAATAGACTTTCTGAAAATTCTGAAATCCTCAAAAATATTGAATTTTCGGGGTTTTTCGATTTACTGTAGACCCAAGTCCGGTATTCTTGGTTTTAATAGTTATGCCGAATTTTTATTTTGCGTTTCCAAGTTGAAGTCGTATAATATACCACCAAAAAAATTGAGAACATGCTCAAAACCACGATCCATCAAATCGTCACCACGTTCACCACCGTACTAGGGCTTACCTCAAACTCATTCCTGCTATATCTCATCCAGACCGATGCGTCAACGGTAGCCAAGGGATACCGTAGGATGATGACGATCGTTACTGTATATAATCTTTATTTTTCGATTGTACATATGGTGGTAGAGCCGGTAAGTTTTAAGCGTCTCTGCTAGCTAGCCAGAATTCCTGCTGCGCGTCTAGGTTTTATATGAAAAATCCGGCAATCAAAATCCCGACAACCATAATGCTGACAATCCAAAATCCGGACATGAGAGCTGGCTGTTTGGTTGTTTTGACTTGTCGGTATTTTAGCAATCAGGATTGGCTTGCCGGGATTTTTTGCTGTCCCGAATTTGCCGGTCGGGTCTTGGGTTAAAATTAGCATCGTACTCTCTTCAGGCCTACCTCCTCGACCGTCATGGATTTATCGTAGTGTCTCGGAATTTCGCTAATCACAGCTCCTGGCTGATGAATTTTATTGCGTTATCTTTTTTTGCCAACTCGTTTTCGCAATCGTTGAGTCTGATCGGGGTGCATTGTATGTATCGGTATACGGTGATCACTGGGTGAGTTTTAGGATTAAACTTTGAAGCGTCAAAATTGCCGCTATAAGTGTGCGATGAGTTCCGTGCTTTCATAAACTTACTTTCGACCATTTTTCAGACGCCACACCTATCTTTTCATCACAACGCGAGGCATTATTTTGGTTGTATGCGTCCATGTGATCTGTTCCATGCTTTACTGTGCTTTTGCCTATTTGGAATGTGTGTAAGTAATTTGTCCAGTGCAAAAGTGCAAATTACATCAAACGTGACGCGATTAATTCATTTCCATTTAGCCAACCAAGTTCCGGGACGTCTTCAGCGCGCCATACCTCAAAACGTACCTCAATGTGACGCTCGACGAGACGGTGTTCTATTTCGGGCCCAGCTTTTCGGTAGCGTATGCTTAGCCTGAGGCTCAGGCTTAGGATTGAAACTTAGACTTAGGCTCATGCTTAGGCTTAGGCTGTGGATTAGACTCAGCCTTAAGCTGAGGCTTAGTTCCGTATTGTGTATTTCATAGCAAACCGACAGCGCCGGCCACGAATTTATCTACTGGCCTCACATGAACCTTGCATCAATGTGCATCTTGTGGTTTGGAGGGTTCTACGTTGTTCTAAGTTATACTGGGGTAAAAATGTAGGTTTTTAAAGATATTGAATGCTATTCAAAATTCATTAAATTTTCAGTTCTCCAAAACATGATATTTTTAGGTACTACCACGTGAAATCAGCCGTGATCACCGGAAAGCAAAGAAATCTTCAAATGCAGTTGCTCTCTGTGTTGTTGGCTCAGGTACGCTTGCGGCTAGCGCAGACTCGGGCTTGAGCTTGCCGGCTAGGCTTATCTTAGGCTCGGGCTTAGGTTTGGCTTAGCTTTAGGCCTAGGCGTAAACTTGGTTTGAGCTAAGCTTAGGCTGCAGCTTGGCCTTAGATCTGGCTTAAAGATTTTGACGGGGGCTTAGGCTTATGTCAGAAATATTTCTAATTTTTCAGGCCGTCTCCCCCGTCGTCTTCGAGATTTTACCGGCGTTTTGCTTACTGTACGGTGGATTTCACGTAAGTTTCCGCGAATATGCACGCGTTTTAATGACTTTCCAGTCTTTGTGACCCTCAGTTTTAGTTAGAAGTAACTTCTATCCTTTCCAGACGTCATCAAGGACCCCAAAATGGGTCTCTTCTTCACCATGTTCATCGCTGGCTACTCGCCGGCCGACGCAATTTCGGTGTTGATTCTGTTTCGGGTAGCTAACACCTAAAAAATCATAAAATTTTAACAGGCCTACCGTATCCGGATCAGCGGCTTCTTTGGGAAATGGCTGCCCTGTTGTCGACGAGCCGAGAAAGAACTTCGTATTGCAACATTTACGGCCTCTTCATTTTAAGGAGGCTCGGGAATTCGATGAATAAAGGCTTCTGGAATATTAATAAAGCATCAAAGACAGTTGTAATTAGAGAATAGAATAGATTACTATTTCTCAACCTACAAGCGTTACAATTTTTTATTAAACGCTAGAACAAATCTCGATTTTCCACCAAGGGCCGAATTTTGACCAAAATCTGAACTTCTCTAAGCAATCTGTAAAATTTTGTTTTTGTTTTCTGACTGAAAAATAGCAATAGTTCACGAAAAAACATCAACAATATACTTCTTATCAAACTATTCGAGATTTCTCAACATATACAAAAAACTGTGGCTCCTCATTCTCCTAAAAGCTTCCCACCCCCGATAATGCAAAAGAACCCAATATTGAAGAAGCTTGGCGCTGAAGAAGCCCACAAAGCAAAAAATGTTAAGCCATTCTCCGTGACCGGAAGAAACCTGTCTAAGGTACTGTACGAGGTGTTACCCATTTCCCTTAAAGCCCGCGTGACACGACAGTCTGGCGTAAAAGTACACAATTTTTGCACTAATTAAACATTATCGATGTTCGTGAAGTACCAAATGGTCATCAGCACGTCGCGTGTTTTTACGCTCGACTGATTATGCCATAAAATTGAATCTAACTACTTGAGAAGGTTGTATATATGGAAAGATACAAGTACTGCATCCCATTTTGTCCTTAAAAAAATTTCTTTGACGTATCTGATAAGGCCTCGCTTTTAGGCGCTTTTCGGTGTTTTGCGATGTGACATGGCTCACTCAAAAGAGCTTGATATTCTGAACAAACCCCATTTCCCGCAATTTGCTAGATGGCTACGGTATTAGAGAAAATTTGCTTCGAAAGAGCTGATTTTGCCTCGTTTTTACCTCTGTTTAACAAAATGTAAGCTTTGAGACGCTTTTCCCCGAAGTGGTATTCATTCAGCAGTTTTTGAAAGGTGGGCTTTGTCCAGAATCTCAAGCTACATGGAATCGGCCCTCTGGGTTGCCTAAAAGCTTCAAATTTACCTAAAAACTTCGATAAGATCTACATTCTTGCAAATCCCTTTTTGTATCTGATTTTGACATTGGAACAATTATTGAACTTCCCGCGCCGTATTTTCACCAAAGAATTTGATGCGGAAGCGATGAGTGGGCTTGCAAATTGGTCGAGCAAAATTTATGATAGGCCTGGGAAAAATTCTGGTTTTTGGATTCGCCCGGAAACCCGGGTACATAAAGGACGGCTGAATCTTTGAGAGCCGCTACCGTAATGTAATTTCTAGAAATTCAGAAGGACGATTTTTCGCCTGTTCTTTTGCATTTACAGTTGTCTGCAAAATTTAAAAGTTATAGCTTTTCCGCCGAACGTTCTTTTAAAGGGACGGGCAAGACTTGCATGCCGGTCCCTTTAAAATCTGCCTGAAAATTTCAATGTTATTAATTTAACATTAAAAAACTTTATTCCATTTTTCAGCCTAGCCTTCGGCTGCAAAAATGCTCGAATCCACCATCCACCAAACCTTTACCACGTTTACCACCGTTCTCGGACTGTGCGCTAATTCATTTCTGTTATTTCTCATCCAAACCGACACTTCGTCCGTAGCCAAGGGATATCGCAGGATGCTGTCCGTGATTACTGTATACAATCTCTATTTCTCGCTGGTGCATATTGTGGTCGAGCCGGTAAGTGAATTTCCAAAATCCTACAGAGCCACTGCTGGCCTGCCCCTGACATTTTCCAACCTTGCCCCGGTTACCGTAGCCTGCGAAAAATCAGGGGATGTGCCCGATCCGTTTTTTATTCTGAAGCTTCTCTTGCTTTTTGGACGCGCACGCACCGCGCCTCAACGCGTCGCGTATCGCCTGTTCCGTCAAAGACATAGGGAATCCACCGCAAAAATACGCTTATCTGCATTACACGTCCCTTTAAGGTATACCTCGTCGATCGCCACGGCTTCATTGCTATATCGCGAAATTTTGCCAACAACGGCTCGCGGACGATGAACATGTTGGCCATCTCCTTTTTCGCCAATTCCTTTGCCCAATCTTTGAGCCTTTTGGGAGTTCATTGCCTCTATCGGTATACTGTAATTACCGGGTATGGTAGTTTTAGCCAAGCCAAAGCTGGATTTAGGCGTCTAACGGAACTATTTTCGACGACCAGAGGAGTGATATTCGTGGCGTTTGCCCACTTTGCTCTCTCAATTTTATACGTGTTTTTCTGTTTATTTGGGATGAGGGTAAGTTTTATGGTTTTTTTATCGACACATTTTCCAAACAAAATTTTTAAAAAACTATTAACTTTGATAGCAATTTTTTTGCTATTCGAAATTAAGTTTATGATTTTTATAAATTCGTAGTTATAAATTATAAAAATGCGCTAAATTTGAGAATAAAGCTTTGCCTTTCAGCCCACCAAATTCCGCGATGAGTTCAGCGCCGACGACCTGAGGCTGTACTTGCACGTGACGCTCGACGAGTCGGTCTACTACTTTGGGCCCAATTTCTCGGTATTTCGATAGTTTTGCTTCTTAACTTGCTTTGGTATAGGAAGTGGACAGCGAGGGTCATGAATATGTCAACTGGCCCGACCTGACCAGCTCGACGATGTGCCTGGTGTTGTGCGGATCGTTTTACTCCATGCTTTGTTATACCGGGATTAAATTGTAAGTGGCATTGACTATGTAATTTTACGTTATTAGTTCTATATTTGACGCAAATTTTCTATTAAAAGTTTTAAGGTATTTACATGTTAAATCGGCGGTAATCACCGTCAAACAACGAAGAATTCAGCTTCAACTACTCTACGTACTGCTCGCACAGGTTGGTTTTGAATGGACTTCACTATCTTGTTGGAAATTCGGAAGTTGATACGCAATGAGATACGCAACATGTTACGCGATGTGACCAGCCGCGCGGCCCCGAAAAAGTGATACGCAAGGTCATATGCAACGCGATTCGCAACGCATTACTGACCGCAAAGACAACGCGAGAGGTAGCGCAATTGCGATAAGCAACTCAGAAAAGCAACTCCGCAACGCGTTACGACGAGCGATATGTGGCTCGCTACGGAACCCGATACGCAACGCATATGCAACTGGCGCAGCGCGATACGAAGTGCGGTACTCAACACCGTAAGTAACGCGATTCACGGGTCCCACTTCCCTCTCGGACTTAATTTTTGATCAACAGCTTCAAGCCCTGAGTCATTTCCTGATTCCAGCACGTATCTGGTACCAAAAACGTGGTAGAATCCCATATCCATTACGCTCCTTGCAAATTTCCAAACGTAATATGTAGTCCCTGGGAATTTCAGTTGAAAAGTCAATTCTTTTCAGGCGATTTCCCCCGTTTTCTTCGAGTTTTTCCCAGCATTTTGCGTGATGTACGGCGGCTTTTTGGGTGAGTCACTTCGTGGAAAGCGGAAGGTTTTAAAATAGTATTAAAAACTCGGATTTAATCGTAATTTTTACAGGTATTCTAAAGGAGACGAAGACTGGGATCTACTTCTCGATGTTTATCGCTGGTTACTCGCCGGCGGATGCGATTTTGGTGTTGATATTGTTTAAGGTCAGTCATCTCCTCTCTTCTCCTCCCTCTCTCTCTCTCTCTCTCTCTCTCTCTATCTCTCTCTCTCTCTCTCTCTATCTCTCTCGCTCACTATATTTGCTTTATTTTCAGGCCTACCGCGTCCGCGTAGCTGCCATCGTTCGCAAAATCTTCCCATGCTTTCGAATATTCGAGAGCGACTATAAGGTCGCGACCACGACCAGCTCGTCATTCAAAGCTTCGGCAGACTCTCAGAATATACCTGCTTGATTTAGATAAAAGCTAACCAATTGAAAACCACAATAAAATTTTTTTGTCGTCTCTGTGTGTCTGAAGCCGAATTTATCTGGAAGGGAAAGGAGCAAGAGCTTCGGTCTCACCGGTTCTAGGTCAATTCCACCTCCTGAGCCGAAAATGTTTAAAATCAAAGCTAAAAATTACATTTAGGCAATGAAAAGAGATTTCGTAAAAGTTTGTAAAGTAAAGCGTTTTAAAGCTTAAAAAAATAGTTTAAGAGATCAATACCGGAAAAAATGAAAAATTTAATGAAAATCGAGTGTTGCTGTGCGCCAAATAAGCAAGGGAGTAAATGTTTATTATTATGTGCTCTCCGCCGGCTTGGTAATGAAAAATGTGACATTGCGATGATTGATATAATGGCGGCCGTTTGCAAATTCGTAGGTCCACGTGAAACGGCTTGAAGAACCGCTTTTCAGCTCTTCCCGTAATTCGTAAACCATCGGCCTGGTCTCGGTCCCGGCGCGCAGCTTGTTCAGGATTATCTGGAAGGCAGTTCTGGATGCAAACCAATTTTTTTGTTTAGCATACAATTTTCTAATATAAATAGAAGTAGTGTATTTACAACATTTTTTGTCATTTCGGTACACACTAACAAAATGTAGGTTTTTTGACCAAAATTTCGAATTTAATGAGTTTGGATGCTTTGCAGGTAGTTCTAAGCTTGGTTTCCAATTCAAATATCCTCAAATTTTTTGTGAAACATTATTAAAACATTTGCTATTACGTCCCTACTCATTTCTGAATCCATAGAAAAATACGTCCCCCCCCCCGACAATGTGAAAGCACCCTTTTTGTTAAAATGGGCCTTTTACACAAGGATTTAATCCGTTTCACATACCTTAACCGCCTCGGAGGTCAGCTTGCTCTGGTTCACGTGATTCACGAAGACTCTAAATCACCAATTTTTAGTTCTCATATATGAAACGCACTCTTTCAAGCCGGTCGCTTCCGTGAGGTCGATTAAAGTATTGTATGCCCCGTCTTCTACAAGACCACCCTCGACTGGGCTGCCCCATTCGCCAGCCCAATACACCGTAACCTTCTCACACGTAGGAGGTACGGGCACCCAGCTATCCACACGGCCAATCGACTGACTCACGTGGATGATCTGTGGGCGGGAGTCTCTGAACGTACAATTTGAGCGATTGCGAAGAACTTCAGACTCAGAATCTCTAGAGTTTCTATGCGCTAGATTCAAGCGTTTCAGGGTTTCCAGAATCCAGAGAACGTGAGGAGTATCCCATCGGAATGATCGGTTCGAATCTATTCACCTCTCCTCACGCGAAGCCCCAAGTGTTGTATATTGCTTACTTGTTGGTCTACAGCTGTATAAAATATACCAAAATGTTTGTATTGGTCTGCTGAGTATTTTCATAAACGCAGAAAACTTTTTTGTAAAACATATGCCAGAACTGCAAATCTGGGGCGCTAAAGTCAAAATCTCGGTTTCCTGATAAAATCCTGAGCACGTAGTAATGGCAATTTCGGGTTTCGAACCGTTTTAAACGAATTTGATTGCGAGATTTTTGAACCTGGCATCCTCTCATCAATTTCTGCCCTCTTGGCAATTGCTGGACCTTAACTTACTTAATCAAATCCCTCGCCGGCCCGTCGATTTTCCCCTCGCAGATCTGAATGATCCGGGCCCGGAAACGGCCAGAAGTGGCTACGCGCCCCAGCTCGCCAACATCGAGCGAACAAGAGCCAATACTCTAAAAGATGTGTTTATTCATGTTAGAGAAGTCGGAATCCTATCATGCTAACAAAACGTTTTTTTTTGAAAATTGCTGAAAATTCAGTAACTTTACCATGACCTTGAAACTTCTTTTAAAGCATAAGATAGACAAAAAAAAAGCTTGTATAACCCTATATTTCAACGAGAAGTCAGTATGCCACTTACCGACATCATCAGCATCTCGACAACAAGCTGGCGATTGACGCCGAACACTTTCACAAATTGATCCCACGTCCGGCCGCGACGTTCGAATTTAAGGACGGTAGGGAACTGAAAAAAATTGAGGTTTATTTTATTCTTGATCAAGTGTTTAATCAATTAAAGTTAAAATTTAACTTCAAATTTAAGCTTGTTTGAAATTTTTCGACACCGAGCCATTGCAATCCTGAAAAGTCAAGCTTTTACTTGGTATAACATCGAATATACCCTCAAAAAAAAACGTTTGTTGTCAATACACTATCATATTAAAAATTTTTTTTATCTATTTGGTGAAGAATTGAAACATTAAATTAAATTTTTTCGATCGATCCAAAACGCGCCGCAATCCTAAATTCTAGTGATTTTCCAACCCGTAAGCACTAATCCCAAACAGTCCCAATAAATATATTTGTAAATAAATAAATTGTAATAACACACCTAAACTACACCAAATTTATGCTAAAAAAATTACAATTACCTGGTCGCCTGCTCGATACAACGTCATCGCGAAGAATTCGCACGTCTTCCGCGAATACAGAAAATAGTCGTTGAACGAGCTGTGCACGGTGCGCAGCCTCAGCACGTCATTGATCGGCAACTTGTCGAGAATGTGGTGCATGACTTCCCGGGGAACGTCCATAACTTTTTCTAGAAATTTATGGATACAAAAATCTAAAAAACAACAAAGATAAGATCAGGGCCGTAACAAACCCAAATTTCGGGGGGGGGGCGACCCCAAAAATTTTTCACTAGTATGACTAAAAATACAGCGCCGCAGGCAAAATTTTTGAAAACATAGGGTTTATAACACTAAAACTAGTGTTAAAAATAGCTAAAAACAGTGCCGCAGGCAAAAATTTTTTTGGAAAAATTAAATCATAAGGGTCCCCCCTTATGTACTTTTCGGCCTTCGGCCGATTTCGGGGGCGGCTCGCCCCCCTCGCCCCCCCCCCTCTTACGGGCCTGGATAAGATGAAAGACTCGCTCAGAAATCGAACCCCTCTTTCCCGCATTGGGGATTCATTTCATGCCGTAATCCAAGAGGGTGGGGCGGGGGAGAGCGCGGGAGTTTGATTGCCGAGCGTAAAATGGCTGCAAAGTTTGCTAAAATTTGATAGGAGCCCGAAAAAACAATAAAAATATTAAAAATCTACTAAAATATGTAAAAGGCACTGGTAAAATAGAAGTGAACTACGTGCCTCAAAAAGGTATCTGAGAAAAGTTATCAAAACATCTGCATTCCATGCACCCACTAATGACAAGGAGAGCTGATAAGAATGACCACACCGGGACGATCAGGCATTAATGGCAACGATTCCTCTATTTCTGAACAACTTATATTCTATTTCGCTATACTCTATTTCGCCGTCCTGCGTTAATGCTTCGGATGCATAGATTATGGCCAGGATTTCCACCGAGCCCCTGGGCAGATGTTTTTTAGCCATCTGCACGTAGCCGGGAAGTGCCCTCGAACTGTCAATGATAGGCTATCAGGGCATTAATGGAAGACTTTTCTCACCAATTTGAGAACTAAAACTACAACGGTTGTATTTCTAAAAAGTCACTCAATAAAGTTTTACGCTTCTAAATGCATATTTTATAGTAAAAAGCGCGTGAATATCCGAAAACCACAAAAAGAAACTGGCAATTGGGCCAAAAGGCTTCCTGCTTCGATCAGTTCTCTAAAGTAAAGCAAAACTCCATTATGCAAATAAAACAGCAAGATTTCAAAAACCGAAAACAAAGGGTTGCGTATTACACTATTTCCGGTGCAACACCCCCCTCCCAGCTTTTGTTTGGTCATAGATAGTTTCCAGATACGCAGATTGTAATAAAACCTATTAGCGATAATTTTATTTTTATAATTATTATGGTTTTTGTTTTCGTAGCTGTCTCGCAACGCCTTCTATTCCCGTCATTTTTATGATATAGTAGGCCCACTGGCCCGGGACAAGTTAAATGCGACCCATTTTCGCATCAATGCAAAAAGAATTGCACTATTCTATTTATTATGATTTGAAAACAATTGCTTTCAAAGTTACCCAAAAAAGGCGGGGAAACTAAAGTACAATATCTACGCACGCCGACCTACGCTTTTCATATTTTTCGCCCCCACCAAGAGACTTTATGATTGATTCCATTTGTAAAATGATACGTTACGGTTAATTAAAAACTAAAGCATTATTCTTTTAATTTGTCCGATTCTTCCATTAATGTCCGAAAAATACATTGCTGACCCCGCAGGGCAGTTCCCAAGTCCGAGCAGATGTCGAAAAATCCTGGCCAGAAAAATCCTGGCCATAATCTCTGCGCCCTAATGCTTCAGCTCTACATCTGGTGGCCCGATCACTCATCGCGATGGCCACTCCCAGTGAGAAGCTCTTGGTTTCTTTGGCATTATCGGGGGAGGGGGTGGAACTTTTTCTGTAATTTACAAAATGCTTATGTTAGTAACTTCATAGAAAGTGTTTTTCGCTATCTATAAATAAATTTCCACTTGAAAGACTATCTAAAAACATTAAAAAAAATAGAAACTTTTATTACAAATTTGTAAAGTTTTTGCGCGTAAGCATACTAAAAACCGTGTAAAAACAGTTCCTCTATTTAGGTTTAAAAGATTAGGTCCTAACAAAAAAAATTGATCCGCCCCGCCGATAATGCGAAAGGACCAGTTTTTGGGTTATAGGCAGGGTTGTTCATTTCGCGTCCGGTCCGCGTCCGTCCGCGTCCGGGACGGGACGCGTCCCCTCCGTCTCATTAGCATAAAATTTTGCGGACGGACGCGGACGCGACCGGACGGACGGGACGGACGCATGGCGGACGGGGACGGGGAGCGTCCGCGCGTCCGAGATGCAAATTAATTCGTGGTAATCTTAACATGAAAACCAGAAAATTCGCAATAATTTTGCAGGTTTTGCGGTGAATTTGATTTTATTGTACAGTAAGTTGCCATGTACAAGTAGACATGCTAAAAACCAGATCCTAAGAAAGGTTTTACGCCCAAAAATGAAAAACTAGGCGCTTCATTATGATTTGAATGCGGTTTTCTAATTTGCATAGCGGACGCAGTCACTTGCGGCGTCCGCCGTCCGTCCCGTCCGTCCGCAAAAATTTATGTAAATGAGCGGACGGGGACGCGTCCGCGTCCCGGACCGTCCGCGTCCGTCCGCGAACAACCCTGGTTATAGGTCATTTTCTATGCGAGAGATAGAGAGCGGCGAGAGATAGAGAGATATAGTGAGAGTGAGAGAGAGGGAGAGAGATAAAGAGAGAATAAACGCTTGCCATACCACATTTTCAGCCTCACGAGGTCGGATTTAGCCACGACCCCGTCCTGTCCGGCTATATGACCCCCTTGAAGAAGCAGTAAAGCCCGGATCATGATTTTCTGATTTTATATGCTACTCGCCGTCCGATTACTCGCATTGTATACTGTATAAAGATTTATTACCCAACATATATAATTCTGCTCCCAAATCGGATCAGGCTATATAACAGCGAAGTTCAGGAATGTTCTATTGTTAATAATCAAGCAGAAAAGCGGCGATTTGCGCGGGTAAGAAATGGTTTCGGCGCTCCGCAGCCTGAATGATCAGAAAGATCAGAAGAATGACCACGGGCGAGATGGTTGACGGCGAAAATTTCAATCAGACGTCAGAAGCTATGGCTCATAGTGGCCATTTTTCTCTGATCCCTGCTGGCGTATTCTCTAGAGGGTGTCCCACAAAAAATGAGCTCCCGTTCGAGAAGGCCGCAGAAGCAAGAATTTTTGACGATTTTGGTATCTATCAAAAGCTCTGGGAAACGCGAGAAAACAAGCGCTCTTATTTTTCAAGGTACGCTTTTTAGAGTGAGATTTAGGACGAAAATCCCTGAAAACTGCAGATCCTACTATACATAATATATAAAAAAATATATATAAATAAAAAGTATATAAAAAATAATGTCTATTTGTGTGCGACTTTGCATCCACTTCCGTCTGTCTGCCCGGAGGATATCTGAATAGGGAATGAATTCTAAGGTATGTATCATACGTCATTAAGTGCGTAATGGCCTGGAGATGACTGCACGCCCATGAGCTTTGACAAAATCACCTATTTTCAACATTAAATTTAAGTTTTTGTGAAAACTTCTTTGTTAGGAATAACTAGCATAGACCGGATTCGACTATTAAATGGGACAGGAGAGGTTGTTTTATTTTTTTTGGCATTTGAGTTTAGGACAATTATGCAGAGTGAAGGATAAAATGGGGTCAGACGAGCCGGGGAACCCTGGTATATGTTAATATAAAACTTTTTAATATTACAATGGTTTTAGCTAAAGCAAAAACTCGTACATCTAGTATATTTTTCGATGCCCTATGGAATAGCGATGGAAAAATTCCGAGAAAAGAGCGGAAAGGTGGAAGTTTCGTCGAAGGATATCCCCTCGCACAGTCCCCCCCCCGCTTGAAATAGAACAGAACCCCATATTCCAACAATTTTTAATTTCTGATTTTTAATAACGCCAAAAATTGTTCATCTTTTGCGTGCAATTTGTCCGTATTGGTCCATAACAATTCCGCTGTTGCAGTGCCTCGGCGCTCGCTCGTTACTGATAAGGCCGGAGATCGTTTAAGTGCCCCTAGATACTGTTACGGCAAAAATTTTCCGGTGGAAATCAGATGGATTCTCCCGAAAGGCCTTACCATGTTCTTTGGTCTTTGACTTGCTTTTGAACAATCTCCGATTTCCGTTATTTGAACTCGACTTTTTAGTTGCGCACCCTATTCAGACCATAATTGCCGATTTGATTGCTTTCGCCTTGCGCTCTTCTCAAAATTATGTCGATTTTCAGCAAGAGCCATCACTCGCGTAGAACATCATGTTGCTGCAGTGCTTCAACTGTGAAATATGCAAGCGACCTTACGATTCCGCAGATGGCATGCCACGGACACCCGTTTTGACTGAAGATCTAGAAGCTATCACCTGCGCAAGCTGCCGAGGCAACGAAGGAACGGTTGTTACGGCATGGTGGCTGATTGATCTCCTAAAGGAGCATTGGCTGGAGAAGACGCAAGATGGATACATAGTTTGCGGTCAAGTTGAGCTTCCTTCTTGCCCGGACTGCAACCATATTTTTACAACCGCAGCTAGATGGTGTACCGTGCTATTGCAATGTGGGCATATGTGTTGCGAAGACTGTTTTAAGAAGTGTACCACGCATGTATGTGCGCAGTGTGCGCATTCTGAAAGCACGGGAGCCTCTTGGCAGGCATGCCCATTTCTGGAACTGATCCAAGAGCTGGCCTTGCATTGGTTAACAACTTTCGAATCAAAGTTAAGCAGAATCAATGTTCGACCGGAAGCGGGCCTATTGAAATGTCGTCATTGCGAGAAAACGGAAGCCTTCGCACATATGTTTCACTGTTTTGATTGTTTGACGACAATTTGCGGTTTTTGCGCTGCCCAACATCACCAGGCACATCGCTACCAGAATCTCTTAAAATGCGAGGAATTGAGTGATGCTGAACGACTAGCAAAAGGGTTGGCGATCCTCTTGAAATGCTTCAACTGCCAGGATTGCCACAAGCCGTTTGATGCAAAAGTCGCTTTGCCGAATACACCGATGTTCAAATATGGACATGACATGTCATGTGCA